GGATGTTGCATATGTATTGTCTCTGTCTGCAACTTGTCTGCACTCTGCTTATGTTTTTTTGTTGTTCTTGAGGGGAGTTCGCAACGGTGTTTGTCATGTAGGCTTCAGTTTCTCTTTGTCATACCGTCCTTTGTTATCAGGGTGGTACAGTCCTTAAGTGAGGGGTTGAGCGGGACTGCTCTTTTCTGTTCTCTGGGAAGTTTTGTCTGAGCCGATCTCTTCCTTGAGTGTTTGGTAAAGCTCTCCTGTAAAACCACGTGGGCCTAGTGGCCTTTGGTATTACGTGATTAGATTCATGGGGAGGTAGGTAGTATGTGGACTTTTGTTACTGGTCTTTTATGGCTATTGGTCTATTCAGGTTTTTTATTTATTGACAATTTTTTGATATGTTTTTTTCTAGGAGATTGCCTCTTTCATTTGGTGTTTTAAAATTTATTATCAGATGTTATTCCTAGTATTTTCATATTATGTGAATTTACACCATATTTGTAAGTTGTGTCCCTTGTTAAATTGCTGGTATTTGTGCTTTCTCTTCTTTCTTAATCTATCCTATTGTGTTGATGTGGCTTATTATTTATTTTCTTTTTTGTTAATTTCTTTTCATAATTTTACATTCTTTGGGTGTGCTCTATATAAAAATACGGCAACCTTTTCATGTGCTTATTATCAGCTCCTTAATTTTCAGACTTTCTGTATATGTGCATTTAAAGCTAATTGATTTACCGTTAAGATCTGTTTTAGCCCTCTCCCACAAGTTATGAAACGTCATGTATTTATTGATCAGTTTTAACATTTCTGTCGGCCATTATGACTTTCTATGTGAATTATTTAGTAAATTTAAAAAATTTTCAGATGCCTTAGGGATTTTTGGTTCATATTTTTTCTATTAATTTTTAATTGAATTGCATTGTACTCTGAACATGCACTATGAGGTATTGATTTCTTGGTATTTTGTGAGATTTGCTTTGTGGTATCCTAATTGGTCATTTAAAAAAGGTAATGTTTAATGTGTGCTTGAAAAAAAATGTTCATTTTTAAATATTGGCTCCAAGGCTAGATATATCCATTAGATAAATCTTGTTACTTTTTTTCCCCCAGTGTTTATTTGGTTTTGAGAGAGAGAGACAGACAGACACAGAATCCGAAGCAGGCTCCAGGTTCCGAGCTGTCAGCACAGAGCCCAACGCAGGGCTCTAACCCATGAACCGTGAGATCGTGACCTGAGCTAAAGTTAGAGGCTTAACCGACTGAGCCACCCAGGAGCCCCAAAGCCTGTGACTTTTGTTAAAGTCTTCTATATTCATACTAATTTTTGTCTGTTTCCTTGAGAGTGAGTCTTTGTTAAAATCTCTTAAGATTATGGCTTTGTCATTTTCTCTTCATAGTTCTCTCAGCTTTTGCTATAAATATTTTGAATTTGTGCAGTTAAAGGAATTAGACTTCCTAGTGCCTTTAGCATCCCAGTGAATTGTTTCAATATTATACAGTGACATTAATCTTTAATAGTGCATTCTACCTTAAAGTCTGTCCTCACTCAGCTATTTGGCATATATTTTTACGGCCTTCCCCTGCTTTAATTACTTTTTAGTTTTCTTGTTTTTTGTTTGTTTTAGAGAGAGAGAGAGCATGAGCGGGGGAGAGGGGCGGATGGGGGGGAGGAGAGAATCCCAAGCAGGCTCCATGTGCAGTGCAGAGCCCGACTTGGGGCTCGGTCCCACAACCCTGGGAATCATGTCCTGAGCCGAAATCAAGAGTTGGACACTCTGAGCCACCCAGGCACCCCTACCTTTTTATTTTTTAACTTAGTTCCTTTATTACTTTTAAAATCTGTCTTGTAGCTGGTTGTAATCAAATCTGAGACATGCTGTCTTTTAGCTGGTGGGTTCAAGATGTTGATACTACAATTACATATTACGTATATCACAGTATTACTGTAAAATGAACACCTGCGAGTCCACCGCCACCTGCATGAGAAATAGAATATTACAGGGAGTAGTAGCTTCCGGGCTGGGCCACTCACACGGTTTTTGTGAGGATGCAGTACAGAAAATAGGGAAAACAACCTGGCTGGAGGCCTCAGCAGCAGTTGCTTCTTTAAGGAGAGATGGGATCAAGGATATGACAGAGTGGATTCCAGCAGTTGTTGAATTTGGGGTGACGTTTATTGAGCCCTGCAGGTGCTGGGAAAGTACTTTACCTGGATTATCTTCAATTTGTCTTCACATCAGCTCGTATAGAAGGAATCACGACATTCTCAGTTTACAGATGAGGAGATGAGGTGGAGAGGTGATGTCATTTTGGCCAGGGCATCAGAGCTGGAACCTGACAGAGTCGTGACGCCAGCCCAGGCAGTCTGCTTCTCAGCCATCTGTGCTTTGCTGCCTGTAAATGACCCGTGTGGCCCTCCTTATAACACCCAGGTTCTGTGTTCATTGGCACTTTCTTTTAGGATTCCTTTTCTGGCGATGCAATTCCACAGGTCCACACTGGGTTTAATTCGATTTACAAGAGAAAACGAGCATGTGAAAAAACCTAGGCTTTAGGTCTGTGGACAGGGCCATCTTCACACCTCAATTTAGAATTGCTTCTTTTCTCGGCAGAGAACCTTTCTGTGCCTGGGTGGCTCAGTCGGTTAAGCATCTGGCTCATGGTGCGTGAGATCGTGCACTGCGTCAGGCTCTGTGCCGACAGCATGTAGCCTGCTTGAGATTCTCTCTCCCTCTCTGTCTCTCTGCCCCTCCCCCCACACTCTTGAACTGTCCTCCTCTCTAAAAATAAATAAGCTTAAAAGAGAAGAAAGAAAACCTCCCTGAAGACTGTGATCCCCACAGGCCTGGCAGAATGCCCTTCTTCTGTGTTCCTGCCACCTGTGCTTGTCCTGTGGCGCATGTCTTCTGCTGCACCGTATTTGGTGGTTGACACGGCCTCTTCGTCCCGCCAGGACAGGGCTGCCGTGTTTACTTCTCTGTCTCTAATACTCAGCACAGCGTCTGGGCCCCATGAGAGTTCATAAGTGACACATGTTTGTCCTTCTTAATGATAGAGTAAATTAATGTATTAAACTAGAAGAACTAGTAATAAAAGTAGTTTTATATTGAGTATTTACTATATTCCAGGCACCATACAGGCTTACCTCATTTATTGCACTTCACGGATACTCTTTTTTCCCAAACCAGGTTTGTGGCGATCCCCCATCGAGGAAGTCTGTCGATGCCATTTTCCCAACAGCATTTGCTCACTTTGTGCCTCTATTACATTTTGTTCGTTCTTGGAATATTTCGGACTTTTTCATTGCTGTTACATTTATGGTTTATATGTGATCAGTGATCATGACTCAGTGAAAGCTCACATGATGGCTAGCATTCTTCAGCAATAAAGTACTTTCTAATTAAGGTTTATGCATTGTGTTTTTTTAGACATCATGCTGTCGCACAGTTAATAGACTACCGTATGGTATAAATACAACTTTTGTGTACACAGTAAAATTGAAAACTTCATTTGACTCACTTTAATTGCACTGATATGTACCAGAGCCTGCCATATCTCTGAGGTATATCTGAAATTAAATTTTTTACATACCATATACAGATAGTTGTAATACCAAGTTATGATTTACCTAAAAACTTTATTTCATTTAATCCTACGGTAATCCTGGGAGATGAGTATTATTGTCACTCCTTTCACAGATGATGGGCTGAAGCTCAGATTACGTGACTTGCCTAAGGCCAGCCACTGTTTGAACAGTAGAGCCTGGATTTGAACCCATATCTGTCTGACTCTCAGTACTGTGGTCTTTGTGTTTAGCATAATTGCTTCTCGGGACATTTCCACAGTTGAGTCACAGTGGAGAAATCACAGAATTCCTTGATCTTGAAAATTTTCTGGGAAGCCTTGCCCCAGTGTTGTACTGACTTGTCTTAACAGGAGAATAACACAACAACAAAATAGGTTCAGTTTTGCTTGGCCATGATTCCTTGTTGTACGCTCGCTTTTAGAGCATACAGGACCTCGGCATGGATTGCACCAACATGTTTAAAAAAGGAAATAGCTTTTGTGTACCTGTTACAATAGCATTTGTCTTGGTCAACACAAAATTGGCTTGATAAGCCAGATTGACTTTTAGATTCAGATGTGTCACGTAAGTATATCGTGATGGTTACTTATGATCAGCATTGAAAAATGTTTTTTTAATGTTTGTTTACGTTGAGAGAGAGAGAGCATCCACGAGTGAGGGAGGGGCAGAGAGAGAATCCCAGGCAGACTCCACGCTGTGCATGGAGCCTGATGTGGGGCTTGATTGCACCAACCATGAGATCATGACCCGAGCCGAAATCAAGAGTTGGACACTTAACCAACTGAACCACCCAGGCGCCCCTGAATATTGTATTCTCAATGAGACGTGGACTAGATAATGGGTGAGATCTAAGCTAGTGTTAATGAGTTGGTCTGGCTGACTCTTCTGTTGATCAGAGACAGTAAAGAGACTGAGACAGTCTTATACAGATTGAGCCCCTAAGCATTAGCTAAAGCTTTTCTTTTTATTACCCTAACTTTGTGTGCTCACAGTGCCATTCATTTCCAGAACTAGTGATTTGTATATTCAAGGGTATTAGCTGATTTTACTAAGAGTTGTATTTAACATTTTGAGTAACACCAAGTTTTGTTTTTTTTTTTTAACAGTAAAAACACACCTATAATTTACAAATTGTATTTTGGTGAAAAGATTTAGCATTCTTGTTCACTATGTCTGCTAATGCAGTTGATTAAATAAAAATCTTTGTGGTTCTAGAAATTTGGATCCTTGTAATTTGGTGGCATGTCCTTGGCAGTAGCTATTTCTGAACATAAAACTTGACAGTTCTTACTAGTTGACATTGACCGTGATATATAGATACTTGAGAGTTTGGGGTGGAGGTAATAAAGGAAAAATGATTCTGAGCAAACCTACAAACTCTGTGGTGTTGGTGTTACACAGTACGTTTGTTTCTCTCTTCTTTCAGACTGGTCGAATTGACAAATCCTACCCTACAGTATGTGGCCACACGGGACCGGTGCTCGACATAGACTGGTGCCCGCATAACGATCAGGTCATTGCCAGCGGTTCAGAGGACTGCACGGTTATGGTAAGCTCCCAGGGGGTGGCATGCACACAGGCCAGTGAGACCTACCTACGACTTTCAAAAAGCATGTGTGTGCAGAGGCTTGAAAAGCAGAAAGTCATAGCAGTTTTGATTGTCCATTGGATTATACCATGATTTAGTGAGATGAAAGGACAACTGTAGCCAAGCCTTTTATAAGCCCTTCTATCAAAGAGGTTGTACTGTATTGTTTTTCTTCTTCTTTTGTATGAGCATGCATGTGGACGTGCTTATTGGCTGTTGTCACGTCTGCTCCATGGGAAGATTTTGAGGACAGTAAAATGACCTTCCAGTAATTCTGTGAATGTCACTGGACCACATAACTCCTCTCCCTCCCCCAAAAGGAAAGAAACTACCAACATGAATGGAAACTTTATAGTGAAATAAGATGCCAAAGGTTATACATATAAAATGGGATATATCACATATATTGGGAAATTGAAAAGTTTTGCAATAAGTAAAGTGCTTATTTTCAAGCTAACGTCAGAAGGTGTGTTCTGTCTAGTTTGACCCTGGTTAAGAAATTCCTTCTTATTCACGTAGACAAACAATATGAAAGAATTTTAAAGTAAGTTCTTTACATTCCCCCATTTAGATTCCAAAAGCAGATTATGTGTGAAACCAGGCTTTGGGATGCTTTTTAATGTCAAGCGTCTTGTTCTTGATTATGTTCTTCTTAGCCTTGAAATGTAATTGTGGGTTTGGATCAGTTTTTAATCCTAGCCCCAAATATGTTGAAAGGTTAACATAGGCACAGATGGGGAGTAATGCATTAAGAGCTGAGCTAAGTGAAGGCCGTGCCTGCGTCAGTTACAGGCGCTCTCACGCATGTCAGGTGCAGAGCTTGGAGACCACTCTTACTTCCCTCTTCATTTTCTGTGGACCGAGCCAGACTTACAAACCGTGTTTGGAAGGCTTTTTTATTAATTAAAATTATTTGACATAAACAAATTAATGCCTGAACTGTGTCATTTAAACATTTACTCATTTTTCCTCATGGACTTTTGGCTGAGGAGAGCTCCTCCTGTGATGTCCTAATTTTGGCAGCCAAATCATATTAAGGAAATATGTTAAAAGGAACTGTTCTGCTTAGTGTGCCTTGCTAAATTGATCATTTTCATGGCTGCAGACACATTTTACTAAAGGAAAGGAACATTGTTTAGACCCTTGATGCCCAAATCTTAAACTGAGAGTATTAACTTCTCTTGAAGAAGCAAGTTTGATTCATCTGAAAAATAAAACAAAAACAAAACAAAAACGCTTTTTATTATAAAACACGCTAAATAAACAGGTAAGGGAGTTCAGTTAGATGAATCCCGTGTAACCACTGCCCAGGTCAGGAAATAGAACTTTGCCAGCCTTCTCAGACTCTCCCTGTGCCCCTTCCCTGTCATAAACACCCCCCCCACCTCCCTCCCTCCAAAAGTATCCGCTACTCCCCCTCGTCATTCTCCATGGTTTTAATCACCCAAACGTGTATTTCTAGACGCTATAGCTCAGTCTTGCCACTTTAAAGAACTTGGTACATCTTTTGTAACCTCTTGCTCCTCTTCCATCGTTTTCTTGTCCTTGACAATGAATCTGATGAAGAAGCCCGACCTTTGACCTGCATCTTTCAACTTCGTTTCTGATGATTGCACATGCATGGTGCATTTCAACATATTCCTCTGTCCTCTAAATTCCCTATAAATTGGCAGCTGGATCCTGAAGTGTGATCACGTTCAGGCTCGATCCCCTTGGCAAGATGATAGCTAGTGTTACGTTCTTTGATCAAGAGGCCCGTGATACCAGGATGATTTGTGCAGCCGTTGATGTTCAGCACCCAGATCCAGCAGATCCTTAGGGGTCGCAAAATGGTGATATTAAATTGTGTTACTTTGTTTTCAATTTTTAGCAGGTAAAAATTGTAAGGGGATGCCCCCTCTTATCTACTATTTGGCCAGTAGTACTGTTCATATAGGAAAGTAGGACAGATGCTTGAATCTCTCCTTTTGTTTACTCAGTTTTCAAGATAATGAATTGGTTCTCTCTCTTCCTCAGAAGACGACCAGTTAGGGTTTTTCCCCCTTTCATGTCATTTTGAATTCATGGATTGGAACATCTTTCGTGGGTTTTGATTCATTACAATTCTTACCTCAAAGCCCAGGTCATCCACTCTTTGTTAATAGGAACTTGTTCAAGGTTCCTGAGTCCTTTGACATACCCTGGTTGTTTTTGATAGCTTCCCTGGTATTTGGTGTGGTAAGGCGCTCCGTGCTCATCTTGGACATCTCTTCACCTACACTTCATATCAGTCATTTCTCTCCGAAGCTCTGGTTTCTTTCTTTTTTTCTTTTCTTTTTTCTTTTTTTTTTAATTTTTAATGTTTATTTTTGAGAGAGAGACAGACAGACAGACAGACAGACATAGCATGAGCGGGGGAGGAGCAGAGAGAGAGAGGGAGACACAGATTCGAAGCAGGCTCCAGGCTCCGAGCTGTAAGCACAGAGTCCGACGCGGGGCTCGAACCCACGAACCGGGAGATCATGACCTGAGCCGAAGTCGGAAGCTTAACCTAACGAACCACCCAGGTGCCCTGCTCTGGTTTCTTTTAATGGAAAATAGAATTTCTCGATCACAGTCTGGGTGCTAGGAATGGTCATTGTTACCATGGTGATCACTTTTTTTTTTTTTT